AACTACCAAAAAAAGTGAAATGTGAATACTAACAATACTTAACTACCAATATCTTCAGAAGGATCTTAAAGTCAAATCCCAAATCGGCTTGTGAAATGTGAATCTTCCTAACAATATTTAACTACCAAATAAAAAAAATTCCAGGTTTGTAGGTCCTTTCTTATCTAGGTTGGCCCAACTGGTCCTAGGAATAATTACAATATAAAAGCCAGAGGCAGCGCCAGCCTTGTGCAAACAACATTACCATCAGCAGATTCTTCTTCATTCCTAGATGGATTCTGTTCTGCTAATTAAGTTTTTATTGTTGGGTCTAATCCATTTGGTTTTCATCCATGGAAACAGGGGCTGCTTTGAAAAGGAGAAGGCGGCTCTTCTAGAATTCAAGGCCTTTGTCGAATCAGATGGCTACGACGCAGACCAACTTTTTCCTTCATGGGTTAATGACCCTGAGCATGAGTGCTGTTGTAAATGGGAGAGGGTCGGTTGCGACTCCACCACAGGTCATGTGATCAAGCTCTCCCTCAGCAATGCCAGGCAGTTTGATGTAACCTCATATAGCTTAGATGACCCTCAAAACAGTTGGCATTTAAACCTCTCCTTGTTTCAACCATTTAAGGAGCTAAGGAGTCTCAATCTATCCTTCAATGCAATTTCTAGGATACAGAACAAAGGTACGCTTGTTGTGTAATTTTCCTCTTTAATTTGCAATGATCTAACTGTAGTAGCTGTGAGCTAAATTAAGTCACTTTAAGAACTTCCCAAACAATAAAAGGCCTTTAGAAGTTGATTTTTGTCTCTTTTGCTAATAAAAAAAAATTTATGCAGAGTTGTCAGTTTTCAAAAACTTAGAAGTGTTGGATTTAAGATCCAACGACCTAGGTGGCTCCTCAGCAACACAAGGTACGCGAATCAATAATTCTACATTCTTTGACCCTGCACCTTAACTTGCACTAAATGAGTTTTCCTTAGTACTTCCTTCAATCTCTGTGGAAATAATACTATCTCTGGATATGACATTAGTCTCATCAACATCACAACAAGAGTCCATATATTCACTGCCACATACAATAAAGGGAGGACAAAGTTGAAACCATCACAAACATTCGAAAAACATAACACTGTTGCATGCATCACTGTGTGGCCAATTGTAATTAATGTACGGTTGACAAATAACAAATAATTATTCCATGCTTAATTATAAGAGTTAATTAATTCAGTATTTTGTAATTTGTATTAAATTACAAACTATTAATCATAAAATAGAGAGATATGCATTTATTATCAAGGATCCTTCATCATTTAATAATTAATGTTTTACAATTCAATATATTATAAACAACAAAACATTTTTTCTTAACCATAATTATAACCATTTTCTTGAAAATAATTGGGCTGGTGGAAGTGAAATAACTAATATTTAATTTGAGGTGAAGGTTGCAATCATAGGTTTTTTTTTACTACTACATTAAATTTTAATAGACCTAATTTTTAATATAGGACATTTAAATTTAGTTATTCACCTTTTATT